CCCAAGACATAAGGTCTTGTGGGTTCATGCTTTCCCATTTTTTTCTCTTGATTGAAATTTCTCCAGTAAACAATTTACTGTTATGTAGCACAAAACTAAGTACATTAATGAGTGACCTTTTAATATTAAAATATTAATTGCTCAAACCAAACACAAAAAGGGAAGTCATTCTTCTTAAGGGCGAATTTTCTTTGTGATTAGCAATCCATAAATAGAGAAGGCTAGTCCCTCTGTAGCAAATATCTGTAAAACTATTATCTAAACTTTTCTGTCTATGCTTTTACTTACTTGGGGTTTTCCAGATTGGCCTTTGTTCTGAAAGATAAATGTTCCTACAAAATGTTGTTTAAATACACGGCACAGCAAACTGCCAATTATAAGAAATGCTTTCCTCCAGTAATTATATTCTCCGGAGTGAGGAGAATATTATTCTACTTAATATTACAATTAACAAAATAGACTTTTGTCATGCCTTTATTTAAACTGTAGTCCTACAGAAAAGTTTTCACAGTGAGCTATAGAATTGCCCCAATGAAAGCACTTCTGAAAACATTGATCTTACAACTAACATTTGAATATATGAGCCAATCGCTAGAAGACTTGTCTTGGTGGGCAAATTCTGCTTAAAAGTTTTCAGAGTGAATCTTCAATATAATCACCTTGTTCAACTGTCAAATTACTGAATTAGAGCTGCTGCCACTTTATATTGTTCAGTAGGTTCTGCCTTATTCTTGTGTATGTTCTTATGTTTATTGATTGACAATCAGAAATTGACATGTACATGTATCAAACATTTAAGTGCAATGGAATATTAATCTGATCATCATCTGAACATTGTCTTAAAAAACTAAACAAGTGGTAATAATCTCCAATTGAGTGACTAGCCAGCAAGCTGAAAAGACAAGAAAGCAGATTGTTGCAGTGACTATTTTGAGAAACACATCCTCATCCACAACTTTCATGCTACCACAGTATACCATTCACCTTAGTCAGTGAATTCCCCATCCAGCACGTACAAATCTTGTGTTTGCTTCTGGAATAGGCACTCAGCAGCAGAAGGCACAATGGGAGGAAAAGGAAAGGTCATAGCTAGGCTGTAGCAGTAAGTTACTCCTATACAGAGAAGGAGACAGATTTTAACACAGCTATATTTTTTTTTCCTATGGCAAATAGAAAGGGCAAATTCCTACTGATTTCTAATGGCATGTATTTCCTTATGCCATAATTTAGAGCGGTTACAGCCAGGTCCCTTGAGAATCCTAACTAGTTACTGTTTGTCTGCCTCTCTTGTATGTCTTTATCCCCTATGAGGCAGGTTAGTTTGAGAGTGCCTTACTCTCCCTTTTCATGAAGACAGATGGTGTATTAGCCAAAGTTTCTTTCTCCACTAGCTACAGGTGTTCAGCCACAGGGGCCAGGGAGTATCTGTAGCTGTAAAAGCTCTTCAGCAGCTGCTTGAAGTGCTCTCAGCATCCCAGTGAGCTGGCTTACACTGCTGGGGCAGATACATTCTCTCATTTTTCACCTGTGGTAACAGTCCTGTGCTGCACTTCAGCACAAAGGTGCAGCTTATACTTAAATACATACATTCACTTTATTACCTCAAGAAATAGGGGGCCTGCAAATTGTAAATGACTACTGCTGCAGTTTCATTTTCCTACAGTTGTCTGGACAAGGTCTCTGCAGGCTGAACAACCTCAGCTCCCTCAGCCTTTCGTCACAGGAGAGATGCTCCAGCCAGCTCTGGGGCCCTTCTCTGGGAATCAATCCAACATGTCATGCCCTTCCTGTGCTGGGAGCCCAGAGTGGGGTCTCACCAGAGCAGGGCAGAGTGGCAGAATCCTCTCCCTCCCCTGCTGCCCACAGGGCTGCTGGATCCAGCCTTGGATGCACACTTGGTTTTCTGGGCTGCCAGTGCCCATGGCTGGCTCATGTCCAATTCTTCATCCAGCAGTATCCCCAAGTCCTTTCTCTCTGCTCTCAGAGTTCGTTCATTCCCGTGCTTGTGTTAATAGTGAGGATTTCCCCAACTCGGGTGCAGGACCTTGCACTTGGTCTTGTTCGGCTTCATGAGGTTCACATGGGACCACTCCTCAAGCCTGTCAAGGTCTCCCCAGGTGGACACCCCTGCTCCCAAGCATCAACATCAACTTCATCACTCAGTTTGGTGTAATCTGTCCACTTCCTGATAGCGTACTCACTCCCACTGTCTCTGTCATTGATAATGCCATTAAATAGGATTAGTCCCTTGAGGGACACCCCTCGTTACTGGTTTCCACCTGGACATTGAATCATTCGCTGTAACTCTGGATATGGCCACCCAGGCACTTCCTTCTCCATCCTACAGTCCATCTATCAAGAGTTTTACAGAAGCCCAGTTAGATGATGTCTGTAACTCCTCCTTGTCCAGCAACAGTCCTGATGAAGTTATTCCACTATAGAGGGCTACTATGTTAGTCAGGAGGAAATCGGTTCAAAGATATTCTCATAAATTGGATTTAAGAAAAGTTGAAGGTTTCTCTCTTTTTATGAAGTGGAAGGTTATTGTGTGTACCACAGAGACATTTAAAATTGTCTTTATTTAGACTGTCACACAGCTGAACATTCTTTAATTTAATCCAAACTTCTTAGGAAATAAAATTATTATGATTCTCATCCTTCAATTTTTAGGCAATATGCTAAAAAAACTAAAAGTGACTGAATTTACAAAAATATTATTGAGAACAACTGTCTTTCAAAAGGCCGTAATACATCATATGTCTCTGTAAAAAATACCATTTGGAACAGCTGAATCACAGGATCATTGAATGGTTTGGGAGGGACCTATAAAGATCATCCAGTTCCAAATGCCCTGTCATGAGACACCTCCCATTAGACCAAGTGGCTCAAAGTCCCATCCAGCCTGGACCCGGCTTTGAACACTGCCAGGGATGTGGCAGCCACAGCTTCTCTGGGCAACATATGCCAGTGCCTCAACACCCTCATAGTAAAGAATTTCTTCCATATATTTAACTGTGCCAGTTTTCATAATACGGGTCACATTTGTATCAGCTATTCATGATCAGGGTTTGTAGGATACAATTTTATGACACTTGAAACAGGGATAATCATGAAACAGCAATGATAGAAATTGAATTTAAAAATTATATTTGAATCCTAGGAAAATTTCATTGCTAAATTAAGCAGAAAAAACAATATAAAAACTTAAAATGCACAGACACAGCTATTCATCAGTAGGTACCAGCTTTCCTAAATATGTGTTTAACACTCACAAACATTTGTGGTTTGACAGCCTCTTGTGACATGCTCTAGTGTGATCTCTGTCCAAGGCAATTCCTTTGATAATGAAGGGGCAGAACTCATCTAGACCAAAATAAAGTGAGCAGAAAGCTGTAAAACACTGCAGGTCACATCAAAGCAGGAAATGAGGACTAGAAAAGAATTTGAAGAACACCTTACAAAGGATGCTCAAACTGGTAGTATAAAAGGTCTTTACATACATCAAAAGAAAGAAGGTAGTAACAGAACTCATGAAATGGGTTAAAAACAAAAGTCTTAACTGGGGGACAGAGTACGATGGTGTGATCAAGGATGGCAAAGCTAGCAGAGAAGTTCAAAAACTTGTCTGCCCCAGGCAGCATCTGGATATGCTGGGGATTCATGACACCAGACCTGCCTCCTACTGAGGATGGGATCTACATCAACTTGAAGTAACTTTACAGGAAATATGAGCCTGAATAGGGAAGAGAAATACAGGCTGTGCAAACATTTCACCTGTAAGTAAAGAAAGTCATTCAAACTAGGTCAACATTGAGGCACAAATATGAGAGAACTCAGCTACCAAACTGTGGAACTACTGGTTGTGGCATAGAACCCCTCCTCGTGGTTGGGAGGTGACCACCAAAGCATCACTGCCAAGCAAAGCCATGACAGCCCAGCTTGGGAGGGAGAAACTGGAGAGTCTGAGTCATCCACTGTGAAGCTGAAACACTTGTGGCAAAGCTTCCTGAGCGCATGGACAAACAGGGGCTGCCAGGGAAGATTTTATTCTCATGTGACCAGTGACAGGCTGCCCAGAGAGGTTATGGAATCTCCCTCCCTACAGACACCCCAGAACTGTCTGCACACAATGCTGTGCCACGCAGGTGACCCTTCTTCAGCAGGGAGGTTGGACCAAATGAGCTGCTGTGATATCTTCCAACCTTGCCCATACCGTAGTTTTGTAGACTTTAAAAGGCAAACTGCCCGACTGCCCGCTGCCTGAGGGTCTCGAGAAACACATGCTGAGGGTCCATGCCGTTTTCCTTCAGTTTCCACAGTGCCCGTGGGCATTCTGAGCTTTCCGCCGGCATCCCCTCCCTCCCACACCTGAGAGCTGTTCGCACCCACCCCTCCGCAGGCCCTGTGCTCGCTGCCAGCCCGGCAGCCCCGGGCCCTCACCGCCGGCGCTCGGACCGTGCCGCGCCTCCAGCTCCTCTGCCAGGGCAGCGCAGCCGCAGCCTCGGCACACCGACCCCGAGTGACCGGCCCCGGGTGACTGACCCTGAGTGAGTGACTCTCCTGGGGGTGACGGGCCCTGTGAGGGGGATGAACTCGGGGTGACTGACCCTCCAGGGGTGACTGACCCTGGCTGACCGATCCTCGGCAGGTGACTGACCCTGAGTGGCCGACTCCGAGTGACGATCCCCGGCGCTGCCCGACCCCCGCGCGCACCCGGCTCGCCGCCGCAGGTGCGCGCTCACGGGGCGGGGCGGGGCGCGCCCCCGC